TATGCATGCAAAGTCTCAGCCCGATCGGTTTGAAATTGACAAAGTTTCATACAAACTTTCATCCCCTATTTTATCCCCTTGGGGGTAGAATTAATCAAAATCCTTTCTTAGCGGATGCCTACGTCATAACATCTACCTGCATGCCAAATTTCAGCCCGATCCATCCAGCGGTTTGGGCTGTGCGTTGATAGTTCACTATGTCAGTCACCTTTGAGTCATATTTAGATGTAGATTATGAGCTGAGCTATGAGCACTTAAATAAAGTATATTGTTCGTACATTATCAAGATATTGTGTGATTTTTCGTAAGTTAAGAAAATGTTGTTATTCGCAAGCGATAAAAGCGTTCCAGTGTCGGAGTGGTCGGGTGTCGCGGGCAAACAGTCTGAAGGGCGACGTCACTCACTTCGCTACAAGCTGTGCGGGACAGAGAAATAGCATCACACAGAAGAGACACCGTTATTGCATCCTCATGAGAGAGAGGACTATTTTTTTTTCTCTTTAATTTGACACATACAGTCATTAAAAAAAACTTATATATTAAACATTATTACTAAAAAACAAGACATTGAGTATAGAAAATTAATTTAACAGTAGTATTTACTAAAATGAATCGCTTCAATAAATTATTTAAAAGAGGAACAGACAAGTTTCTTGCTCGTTCTTCTTGTGATGAGACAGCATTCCGAATGAGCGGTAGATTAAAAAAAAATGTTATGACTATTCAAAAGTGCTTCAATGTAAGTTTATTTGAATAAATGATTTTCTATTCTATTCTATTCTTCGTTGACATTTAATAATAAGCTAAATATGTCAGTTAGAGATGTACACAGGTTTTTGTAAACAGTACATATATATATTATACTTATATAAAAAAATTAAAATTATAAAAGTTCGCTATAAATTCAGGAAAGACAAAGTTTAGTAATTCCTTGTATGTATATGACGCCGATTTTTTTTTTTTGTTATTTTTAAGATTGACTTTTTATAAGTTGCAAGTGAGACATTAAAAGGGTCCAGTTCAGAGAATTCGGTATTGTTTTGTTTTAAGCAACGATGAAATCAGTTTGCAGTAAAATTCTTTTTAAACTAAACTAAATTATTGAAGCTGTTACTACCACGTGCTGATCGATGTTGGGTACGATGACTGTTGGCCAGAAATATCTCTTTAGTTCCCACATTTACTATATCAGTCCATACTTTATGTTATGTAGTTTTACATTGACGAGACGATGTAGGTGGCATACTAGCTGTACCCGCGACTTCGTCCGCGTGGAATTTAACTTTATTTTTCTAAAATAAAAGTAGCCTAAGTTACTCCTTGTTACATCAGCTACCTTCCAATAAAAGTCCCGTCAAAATCAGTCTAGCCATTTCAGAGATTAGCCGGAACAAACAGACAGACAGACAGACAAAAATCGTAAAAAAATGATATTTTGGTGTATGTATATTCATATGCATGTAGTAAATCGGTTATTTCAATATTACAAACAGACACTCCAATTTTATTTATATGTATATATATATATATATATGATAGTAAACTGACGATTGTACATTAAAATATCGATCTTATAGGGAAGCAGCACCCGTTCACGAGTATGACGGATAAGCCAGCCATCATTGCACGCAACCATATTAGAGGGAGCACCTCGACTACCCACCACAAGTTTGAACTTTATAACGAGCAAGACTGTTTCAAGTTACTCCACTACGTCAATTATATTATTACAAGATGTACCCGCGACTTTGTCCGCGTGAATTTTCGATACTTCCATATAACCTTTCATCTTCCCTTTCAACCTCTTACAACCCTTTTTCGAATTAAAACGTAGCCTTTCTCAGGTTCTATACTATATGTGTACTAAATTTCATTTAAATCGGTACAGTAGTATTGGCGTGAAAGCGAGACAGACAGACAGAGTTACTTTCGCATTTATAACATTATAGTAAGGATTATCGCAGTCAGTATCTTACTAATATATAGTTCCTTCCATTTTTCCATTAGCCCTGGTTTTAAGCATATAAAACGTTCGGGAATTACAAACAACGCGGTGGGGGATCGAATGGGCAAATATATCGAATGTCGATAAGCGGCGCTTGTTAATGTTTTAAAAGCAGTACTTAAGTGTTGTGATAAACGACATCATGATGTACTATCTCGCGATTTCATTTGCTTCTTTGTCTTTTTTTTATATAACACAGGGGACAAACGAGCATGCGGTTCACCTGATGGTAACTGATTACCGCCGCCAATAGCACCCGTAAGGGGAGTTGCAAGTACGTTGTCGGCCTTTCAAAAAGGAATAAGCTCTTTTCTTGAAGGTTTCAATATCGTATCGGTTCGGAAATACCATTGCTGGAAGGTGATTCCACAATGTGGTTGTGCGAGGCAAAAAGTTTCTAGAAAACCGCACTGTGGAGGACCGCCATTCATCCAGATGATCAGGATGGTATTTCAGTTTCTGGCGGGTGGTACGGTGGTGAAACTCAGCAGCACTGTCTAAAATACACAGTTTATATCTATTCTCGTGATAAATACTATCTCACTCACTCTCACGCCAATATCACGAAGATATTCAGTCATATGGGGGAGAGATCTTTGGGGGAGGCCTATGTCCAGCAGTGGACGTCTTTCGGGCTGCGATTATTATTCAGCCATATAGCCGTGCAAAGAAGAAACGTAAGAAACGGTCAAATTTCCAGATAGATACAGATAGATAGATCATTCATTCATAATTTAAGAGCTGTACTCTTGTCGGTGGAGCTCCCGCCACCTTCCACGATCTTCTATCAGTCCTTTTAGCTGTTGATACGACACGACTCCAACTTTTTCTTTAACTTGCTTGATATAGCTGTGTCTCGGTCTTCCCCTTCCTCTCTTTCCATCTATTTTTCCTTCAATAATGTTATTAATTAGTTCGTCGTGTCGTATCAAGTGCCCCAACATTTTCCCCCGTCTATTCTCAATAATATCTATGATCTGTCTCTTTTTTTTAACACTTCCAAGCACTTCTTCATTCCTTATTTTATCTTTCCAGCTAATTCTTTCCATTCTTCTCCAACACCACATTTCAAAGGCTTCCAGTTTATCTCTTTCCTTTTGTCTTGTCCACGTCTCACAGGCATACTCCAGATGTAGGTCTTGATATGTCGTTTCCGAGAGGACTTTGATATATTAGCTCTCAAAAGATGTTTTTTATCATTAAATTCTCTTTTAGCTATACCTATTCTAATATTAATGTCCTTAGTACATCTGGAGTCACTGGTAATCAAACTACCTAAATATTTAAATGTGTCTCATTTTCAAATTGTATTTTTTTTATTCTTGTAGTATTTCTGTTATAGGCTTTATGTTTTTCTACTGTGTTTATTTCAGTTTTTTTGGTATTCATATTTAGTCCATATGTTTTAAAATTTTTATTCATTATGTCCAAAAGTGTATGAAGCTGTGTGTAGTCTTCAGCTAGGGCAGCTATGTCGTCAGCAAATCTTATAAAATGTTTGTCCGTTATTTGAATACCTCCCTGGTGTAATTCTGTTATTTCTTTTACTGCAGCATCCATAAAGATATTGAAAAGGAGAGGTGAAAGTGGACATCCCTGTCGTACTCCCTGTTTAATTAAAAAAGATAGATAGATAGTTAAAAAATTTATTCACGTTAATGGCACTCACACAAGGAACTGTAATAATAGGAACAAAAATAAAACAGATATACAATTACATTAGTCAAGTCAAACAAAATACAACACACAACAAATATACAGATAAAATAAAATGCAATACAGTTAGTAAAAAAAACGGTGTGAGTAACGTAGTGTGTGTACATAGCCCATACGCAAAAAGGCAGCATCTCAGTGTATTATTTGCAGCATACAAGCAGAAGACCACTGATATTCAGGCACTGCCCAGAGACATACGCGAGGACGCATGTAACAAGACCACAGCTTGTAATCAGCCTTATTATATTATCATAAATAGTAATAATAATAAAAAAATATATAATAAAACTAGCTGTTCTCGCGACTTCATCTGCGTGGAATTAACTTTATTTTTATATAATAAAAGTAACTTAAATAACTAAAAATTATTTTGTTCGTCTTAATTTATTCGTTCCATTGGGTACTGATAGGTTCAAACTAATACATTTACATCCTGCATCATCCCTTATTTTATCCCCATGAGGGTTGAATTTATCAGAATCCTATTTAAGCGAATGTCTTCATCATAGTAGTTCCAATCTTTAATTTCAGTTCAATCAGTTGAAAATCTAAGAAGATTTATACAAACTTTCATCCCCTAATTTATCCCCTTAGGGGTAGAATTTATCAAAATCCTTTCTTAGGGGATGCCTACGTCATAGTAGCTTTATGCATGCAAATTCTCAGCTCGATCGGTTTAAAATTGACAAAGTTTCATACAAACTTTCATCCTCTAATTTGTCCCCTTGGGGGTAGAATTAATCAAAATCCTTTCTTAGCGGATGTCTACGTCATAACATCTACCTGTATGCCAAATTTGAGTCCGATCTGTCCAGTGGTTTGGGCTGTGCGTTGATACGTTACTATGGTCGAGCTGATACTGTTATGATGGCTGGCTCATCCGTCATACTTGTGAACGAATGCTGTTGTAGGGACTAGTCTTCTCTTATCACTACGATTTAATCTCATTGTGTATTTATATTTGACCCTAATAAATTATTGTTGGTTGGTAGTTTGTATTCACACATTTCGATTGGTAAAATGTGAACTTATAAGGATTATTTAAAAGAGCAACACACAAGTTTCTTGCTCGTTCTTCTTGTGATGAAAAAGCTTTCCGAAAGAGCGGTAGATTAAAAAAAATATTATGACTATTCAAAAGCTTAAATTATTATTTGAATATATGTATTAAATTTCTATTCTATTATTATATATATTCGTTTACCTAAAACTAATAAGATTTTATACGTATAAATTTTATTGTGCTTCTCGTCAAAGCAAAATAAGGTAAATAACTTACCACCGAGAACTCGGCATGTGAGGAGCACGTCCTCCCCTTCTTCGTGAGGGCCGAGGGTCGTGGTGTTGATAACTCGGCCATATCGGTCCACCACCACTGGCTTTTCAGGAGGCACTGTAACAAGGATATAACAATTGTTCAAACTTCAAATTATTAAAAACTAGCTACTTGCCCCGTCTTCGCTCGGGTTTACATGTATTATATATACTACTTCCTCTTGAATCACTCTATCTATTAAAAAACCGCTTTAAAATCCGTTGCGTAGTTTTAAAGATTTAAGCATACATAGGGACAGACAGCGACAGCGACTTTGTTTTATACTATGTAGTGATTAGTAAATCACGGTATCTTACCACGTTTTATTCTCATTGATTTTCCGATATTTCTAATAGTAGTAACAAACGAAGACGTGTGAGGGTAGACGCATATGTCTGGCCGTAAAAGATTTATTTTCCATCTACCCGCTGCTCTTCAGTTTACCCGTGATCACGGTTGAAACACTGCCGAAATATCGGGAACTCAATCAAAATAAAACGCTTATAAACATGTTAAGTAAATGTCCTGGATACCTACGCCACATCTTTCACTTCCTAAGGACTACTATCCGTCATACTCGTGAACGAGTGCTGCTTGTAGGGACTGGTCTGCTCTTATCACTACGACTGATTTAATCTTATTGTATATTTATATTTGACCCAAATAAATTAACGCTGGTTGGTAGTTTGTATTCACACGTTTCGACTTGTAAATGTAAACTTACAATGATTATTTCAAAGAGCAACACACAAGGTTCTTGCTCGTTCTTCTTGAGATGAGACAGCTTCCAAACGAGCGGTAGATAAAAAAAATTGTTATGACTATTCAAAAGTGCTTAAATTAAGTTTATTACTTTTTATTCTACGGCATAATATAGTAATTACTATAGCAATATATAGTATAGTAATTAAATGCTGGAAATGCTGGAACAATTTACCACCCCCGATTCAAAATACTATTCAGTCAGTTTCGTCTTTTAAACATCATTTTAAAAAATATTTACTCAAAGTACTAAAATTTTAAACGTGGCAGATAAATACAGTAGTTATATATACATACTAGCTGTCCAGGCAAACGTTGTTTTGCGTTAAAATAAAAAAAATATATAGGGATGGACTACCCCTAACATTTAGGAGGATGAAAAATAGATGTTGGCCGATTCTCAGACCTACTCAATACGCTCACAAAATGTCATGAGAATCGGTCAAGCCGTTTCGGAGGAGTATGGGAACGAAAACTGTGACACGAGAATTTTATATATAAGACTAGCTGTCCCGGCTACGTTGTTTTGCCTTAAAATAAAAAAAAAAAAATTAGGGGTGGACTACCCCTAACATTTAGGAGGATGAAAAATAGATGTTGGCTGATTCTCAGACCTACTCAATACGCTCACAAAATGTCATGAGAATCGGTCATGCCGTTTCGGAGGAGTATGAGAACGGAAACTGTGACACGAGAATTTTATATATAAGATATATTGATTAAATAAATAAATATATTCAAACTATATTATATTACACAGAAGTCTTTCTATCAACACTTTTTTATCCTTATATATTTTTCTTCCATTGATTACACATATATATAATTCATCCTAACTCACTCTTAATTTTATATATTTAAAAGTCATGCTAAGGAATGCTATTTCTTTTTTTCTAGTGGCTCCACTGAAAATCAGCGCTGTAGTGACACGCTGCGGCACCAGCTGAGTGCCTTTTCAGCAGCGAATTATTTTTTTTATAAGATAAGATAAGATAAGCATTATATAACTGTGTTACATCATATATGGAAACGACCAGTTTATCCATTTCGGACGTACAATACAAGACCGAAGAGCTGGCAGCTACCTTGGACAAAGAATTAGTCTAGCTATTCAAAGAGGGAACGCTGCCAGTATCTTCGGAACGTTGCCTAAAGGGACCCCTTTTAATAATATATTTTAGTCATCATATTTTTTTTTTTTTTTAAGCTTTTTATTTTAGTTCTTAGTTGTACAATTAGGTTATATGAAATTAGAATATACAATTACATCAAATAACCAAATTACTATCTACAACACAACTTAGATCAAACAATTTGTCACTCACCTACACCAAGGTAATATTTATCTAAGTTGTAAAAGCACTTACACAATAACCATTGTTTTAAGGTTCTTTTAAATTGTCCAGCATCCAGTGATTTGATGCAATCAGGCAAATGATTAAATATATTTATTCTACTTATGTAGGTACGTACAACCATATGTAGAAATAATATAAGATGAATTATTGTAATTGTTCTAAGTGTGTATGTATGTATGTATATATGTATATGAGTGTGTGTGTGCATATGTGTATGTACATATATATTATATATGTGTAAAGTGTACAATTGTCAAATGTGTATATGTAATAATGGTTGACAATAAATGTTTTTCTTTCTTTCTGTCTTTCTAACTTTTACTATACATATAACTAGAAGATCTCACAGTACAGATGTCATATTTATATTGCGATCTTAAATTACTCTTTATTTCAGTCCCTTTACAAAAAAAATTAAATTTTCTTTTTTACTCTGTACTCTATTTTATGCTGAATAAATGATTATTATTATTATTACGTTAATATTATTTACCATTAGATATTCCTTCATGGCAAAACACTATAGTGTATACAATAAACCTCCTCTTGTTTAGAATTAATGAGTGAGAGGGCAGTATAGACTGTATAAAGGCCTTTGGTTTTCAACCCTTTTGCGTACAAAGATGCGATTATATTTATATATTCACTTAACTTCCCTTCGTTTTTCCATATACAAATCATGTATCCCAGCTTTGAAGTAATAATTGCTCTCTAGTCGCGCAAACGTGTATGAAAATATCATTATTAAAATTCCTATATCCAATTCCCTTTTTATATCATACTTTATTATTCACTAGTTTTGCCCGTGACTTCGTCCGCGTGGAATTTAACTTTATTTTTCTAAAACAAAAGAATTTTTCTAAAATAAAAATTGCCTATGTTACTCCTTATTACATCAGATACCTGCCAATAAAAGTCTCGTAAAAATCGGTCCAGTCATTTCAGAGATTAGCCGGAACAAACAGACAGACAGACACAAATTGTTAAAATTGTTATTTTGGTGTAAGTACCGTATTTATGTTCATATGCATGTCGTAAAAAATGGTTATTTTAATATTACAAACAGATACTATAATTTTATTTATATGTATAGATATAGAATAGCTGCTTCCCCAGGCTATGCTGTGTATAAAGAAGAATATGAAGCGACGTGTTATGAACTGTCACAATTAAACATATTGTTAGTAAATTAACTTTAGTGAACAAAATACAAAAGGTAAAAAGTGCACGTGGTGGACTTAACATCCTACCTGCGCATTTATGTACATCAATCATGAATGGTGCAGAGAAAGCTTGATTAGTACAAATTTATTAGCCAAATGTAAACAATATTACTGAAAGAGCTCCCGAAACTGAAAGCAATTAATCAGCTCAATACAACGCAGGTGATTGCTAACAGCTCCGTTCGATTAGCATAGAGCCTATTCTACGCTTTCGTTGCACACCTGCTACATACAACACATTAATATTAAATGCCAAACGTACAGGGTCCAAATTCGCATGGCCGGGCTGCAATTGTCAGGAGTTAGTTTACGCCACAGCAACGGTGGGCTATTTTGGCCGATTCCGTTTAAAGCATCAAAGCCCAATTGGGTTTTACATTCGACACGGTACAGCGTTCGTCCAATCGAATTCCAGCTTCTGATAAAAGATTGAATGACGAACTCCGGAGTGTAAAAATACCGCAAATTCCCGGGTTCCCCAAACTCATCAAGTAAGAGTATCAGCCTTTCACGGGGGAGCGGGATAAAACCGTTATGGATTATAATTAAAATGTCAAGTTCGGCAAGACGGAAGAGTTGCGAATTAATTCGAATTCGTCTGTTTGTTGTAATTAACCAAAGTGATTCTTCATAATGAAAAGTAACAAGATTTGCATAGAAAATTGAGAAGGCCCGAGTTCCGATAAGCAAGGCTAATAGAAAGACAACAGAGCAACAATAATATTTTACGTCTCGCCTCGGATACCCGATCGCGTCTGAAAATGATTTAAGTTTCAAACTCGATTGTGTCGGATGATCACTCCCGATAACGACCGTAACACGTTTCGTGGTAGGAGACGATAGCTTCTGTAGACGAGCCTTAAACTAGCGGCCAAACTGACCGTGAAATCGAAAGCTATAGATACCGCCGATTCTTGTTCACCTGACCGTCGAAAAAGAATCCGTTCGCCAAATTGAAGTTTAAATTGAAATTGCTTTTGACGACGAAGCCGTAACGTTTGGTACACATCGAGAATTTATAGGAATGTGTCGTGAATTTACGAGAAGTGCCTCATTTGTCGATTTATTGGATGATGATCGAAAGAGGACAATTCAATTAATGAGTAGCATGTCCATGAGCAATTGCGCGATATCGGCGGAGAGGTTCGTTAGGGAAAACAACTCGTCGACGACGATAGGATAAACAATGACGGAAATGCGATTAAGATAAAAAATAGACGCTCCGCTTCCCCTGTGGTTCTATGGCAGCCGTGACGTTCGGCGTGCGAGTGATCGAGCACCGCATATTACTTTTCTGCAAACATGTCGTGCAAACTGTAGCGTTTTCCCATAAGGGGCTTGAATAAAAAACGAGATACTCGTGAGTATTTCGGAACACTTCTAATGTTTACACGGAGAATTCACTTAATGATACAACGAACAATATTCACTTTGTCAAGTCAACTGATAAAAAAGCGAGAACTATCGGACCCGGCGATTCATTTTCGAGATAATTCAGCATCGAATATTTATGGCAGGCTTTTATTGAAACAGAAAATAACTCGGAAAAGTCGGAACGGAAACAAACGAAGAATGCGATTTGTTGAAGAAAGAATATTTTTCAATTCACTGAAGATAAGGGAGGTGTCCTTTCGATTTATTATCTACAGTGCTGGGTTGTAAATACAGTTTATTCGAAGTAGCTAGCGAATTATGTACAATAAAGCAAGTATGGCGAGGCGGAGCACGCCAATAT